GGCTGTCACTGTCTAGCGCGCTACGCTCTGAGTCGCGAACTGGCGGCCGACCGCAAAAAGAATGATGGACGGTAAGGGCAGCAAGTGTAATATTACACCACAGAGGTGGCGCGGCGAGTATGCGCCCGCGAGTCACCCGTATGCCCCGCCCACAGGCCGCTCGACCAATCCACGCACCGGTAAATCATCGCTGACTTAGTTGGGCGGAGCGCAGCCAATTTTCTTGCCCAATGCGGAGCTTTGTTACAAATATGTGAGGTACTCCGTCCCCCCGATTGGTCCAAGACGCAGCCACATGTGGAGGTCGCCAAGAAAATATGACACGAGGTCTGAGCGAGGGCTGCTGATGGCGCGAAACAACACGGGGCGTGCGAGCGGCAGTGTCTTTTGAGGCTTTTTCATTTTAATTACCTTTTCTCCGACTTTTAATTGCTCCTCCTCCTCCTTTACAACGGCTTACGACCAGTTTAAATGAAACATTTTATTTCCTTAAGAGGAAGTGATCAAGGACAGCCAAGCATCCCTGTGACAGCGCGACTAACTTCATTTAGCCTCTCGATGTAAGTGGCAACAACGCGTTGTATGTAAACTTGATGTATAGCCGCCCGACCTCACGCCTGGCAATCTTTGTCATCGGCTGAGTTATTTGTTTTGGCCTAAGCATCCCAAGGGGGCGCCTTTGTCCCCTGCTCACCAGAGGCGTCATCTAAAACAACGCAAAAATGTCCTCTTCTACCCATCCTCCCCTCCCCCCGCATCATCTCCTCTCTCCCTCATTCCCTTTTTCCTGAGGTGTCAATGCGAAATACTCATAAACGCTGAGGAGTGTCAAAGGCTGTTTAGAAAGTCCCACAGCCGCTGTTTGCCTCGGCGCCATCTGGGTATTTTGCCATCGCTAATGGAAATGATCCCCATGAAAGCTCTTACTGTACGAATGTTTCGAGGCGCAATGCAAACAAGACCTTCCGACTCGATTTTAGGATCATCTAACGTCACTGCTATCAATTAAATCATCATCGTTAATTAAACTATTCCCCGAAGGAATCACACGTTAAGACAATGTTTGGGATCAATATTGCACATATCGTCAAGTGTTTACAAGTGATCCTGATGAATCTTTTAATTCCAGTTATGCGTCACTTTAGGCGGAGAGATTAGTGATCGTGGTCTTAATCGTGTATGCATTTGCTCGTAGATACATGTGTGAGTGTAGGCGAATGATTTGACTTTGCTTTTGTTTATTAGTGCCCGTAGATATGTGCGTATGTATGTTTTTGTGTTTGTGCGTAGATGTGTGTGTTTTTTGTGTGTGTTTGTGCATGGACGTGTGTATATGTCTTTGTATTTGTGTTTGAGTACGTCTTTGTATTTGTCTGTGCGTATGTGTGTGGGTGGCTGGATATCTACGTGCGTATGTATGAGAGTGTTTGTGTAAGGATAATGAACATGAAGCCTGCTTTCACATTTTACAATAATTCAAGTTATTAGTTTGGTACACGTACACAACAACATATGTATCACTGCCTAGGATTTGTTCTACTTGCGACAGATGGAATGTGTGTGTGTGTGTGTGTGTGTATGTGTGTGTGTGTGTGTGTGTGTGTGTGTGTGTGTGTGTGTGTGTGTGTGCGTGTGCATGCGTGAGAGAGAGAGATTCTCTTATTACACTAAAACGGTATTAGAGCGTTATTTGTACGCCATTCTCCCGATTTCAGATTCACAAATCACTCAAACGCCTCCATACATCACAGTATCGCCAAGAGTAACCTTCATAAAGCTGGTCGACAACGAGTATCAAACGACAACAAATATTAGAAAAAAAAGGACATAAAAAGGCGTGAAGTCTGCGGCTACTGAGGTTTTCTCAGTGAACAATCAATCACACTTACCAGTATAGGAAAAAGCTTATACGAGAAATCCATACAAATCACACTGAGGAGGTTTACATGGCCAATCACTTGTCAATACATTGGGTCTTTATGCAACTGAATCACGCGAGCTTTGGAGAAGAACAGCGGCCTCGTATGCAAGTGTTTTTCCTCGATTTGTAGTTGTTTTTATCGAGTGTTTTCAGCCCGTGAAGCTTCGAGAAGAAAACGTCCGTGAAATGCGCGTTTTTTCGGAATCTTTAGTTCGGAAGACAATGTAGAGAGAAGGTTTTTTTTAATATAAAGATTTGGGTAAGATCTTTCGTGACTTTAGGGACCGAGAGAAGGGCGCTGAAGATAATAACACTTCAGAGAAAAAACGTTACGTTCCGCGAGGTAAGATGACTTTCGAATAAGTCGAGTGTTTACAACAGACGACAGACGGATGGAAACAAGACCACAAAAAAGGGAAAAAAATAGAATGTGAAGGAGACAGGAGACAGCAAATATGACGGGATACTTTAACAGTCCTTCCCGAGAGAGGTGTCCCCAGACCTAACGTGTGAACAGGAACAAAACAATCGAAGGCAAAAACGCACAAAGGAGACGAAAAGAAGACGAGAGAAGGAGTAAATAGAAGGGCAAAGAAAGCACACTCAATTGTCTCACAAGTAATCAAGGAGAAGACCCTGAAAGCTTTGCAAGAGGAGCGAGGGCTCCCGAAAGACAAGGCGGAAAGGATCTCGGCTGCAGAAGGTCTTCAGCGACTTCTTCAGACACCTGTAAGTCCTCCTCATTCACCGAGCATCAATCCATCGCCTCAACAAGATTTACGACGGAGTACGTCCCAATTCCTGCTGGTTTGTTTGTCCACCATCTTCGAGGCGGTCGGAGCTCGGTGGACCATAATCCCTACAAGCGGGGTTTTCAAGTACAATAGTTTTTGTTTCAGTGCACCATAGGCCAATAAAAGGACGGCTCTGGAAGTCCGCTGCTGCCTGTAGACTCGGAAAAAAGACGGGAAAAAATGGTCACTGAGTAGTGTTCACTTCCACAGCGAGCGGACGGAGGCGGAGACACCCGTACAGCGTATCTGTTCCTCCACTCGGAAAAAGAGAAACCGTTATCTAGCACTTATAAAGAAGATAAAAAAAAACAATGAAAAAAAAATTATCCTTAATGATAATCTAAAATATTAACATTAATGATTGAGATATCATTGATAATTAACGTCAACAGTAATGTTATGTCTACTGCTACTATTAATACTGTTACGACTAATAATGAGGATAATACTGGTAGTAGTGATAACGAAAGCGATAAAAAGGAAGATGATAACAAGCATAACGGTAGTCACAGTAAGGAGACAAATAACTAAAGCATTATTTATAATATGAGCGATACTGACAACGATAATTATAGCGATAGAAATATCAATGTAACGACAATAATATTGTTAATATCAATGAATATGTTAATAATGATCATATCAATAATGATAATGATTATAGTGATAACAGTGATGATAATGATAATTATTATTGTGATAATGATATTAATAATGATAATGATAAGATGTTGATAATGATAATGATGATAACAACGATAATAAGAAAAATGATATTAATAATAGCAATGAAAATAACAGCAATTCTAATAATGATACTACTACTATTACTGATGATGATGATGGTGATAACGAAAATAATAGTAATATCAATAGTAATAATGATTTTAACAGTAAAGTAATAACACCAATGATAAGAGTAAGAATAATGATGATTATCATTTATCTTATTACATGAAGACTATCTTTAACTCTGACTTCATTAATTATTTGCCAAAAAAAAAAAAAAATGTGCTGAAGATAGCAATATTAATATCAACAGAAATATAATTATAAAACTTACAAACTGATTAGTCAATAGCACGTGTCTCACCCAAAAAAGCAAATAGATATTAACAATGGCCTAACAAAAAAAATACACTATAGACGAAACTAAATGAAAAAAAGAAAAAAAAAACAGGGAGAATAAAAGAGAATAGAAAAAAAGGAAAAAAAAAAAGAAGAAAAGAACCCCAAACGAACAACTCCCCCTCTCCCCCCCCCCTACCGCGTCCCGCCCCTTGGCCTAAACATTTTGACATGGGTTTTAGAGCCCGCAGTGACATCCGCTGCGCCATTGGTTGTCAATATTTTAAGGCCGAGGTAATAGAGGACCTTCGGATGATTAACACAGGTTCTTTGTGCGGCCTCGGTTGTGTGGGACTCTTGGGACCTTCCCGAAACTATTGTCTTCGAGGCTAAATATTGAACCCTCTTTTGTACCCGCCGAGGCTGCCCAATTTGTAAGTTTTACATGTCTTATTTCTCCAAGAGGAAGGGACCCACAGAGATGGTTTTCCAAGGTTCTTGCTCGAGAAGAATAGAAAATGCACAAAATCGGCTTCTTGGAACCAGCAGTTTGTTGTCTTCCCTCCTTTCTCTCTTTCTTTCTTTTCTCTCCTTCTTTGTTTCTTTCTCTGGGACGTGCATGTCTGTAGGGCATTGTTATGCTGTGTAGGATTCAGGAGCGAGGGTAATGCGTACATATATGCTCGCTATGCCAGATTTCGCCGCTGATTCCCCGTCGATGTGGAGACCTTTATGGCACTAATAAGGAATTTTCGGTTCGGCGGTAATAAGATTGGATCCCATTGTGAAACTAGAGTCTATTACTATAGATGTGTGTGTAGATTTCGATACTGTTGATAGTAAATGTGGATCGATATTCTGTTGTTATTTTCATAATTATGCTTATCATGTGTATGTTCTATTCATTTACATATCTATTTGCGCATTTGATTACACTAATAAATCATTTGCTAGTAACAGTATCGGTGGTATAAACTATAATGATATTAACAACAATAAAAATAAAATGGTATGTGAACATTATAAAACTCTTCTCCCTGACATTTAAGAAGTCATCAATAATTATAATACTAATCAAATGACGCTGACATATTAATTGCAATACATTTAATAAACTTATTGACTATGAAGACCATCTAAAATTATTGTAAATAAATATGACACTAAAGGTTATCTTACTGTTACTATTGCAACTATTACTCATGTTATTATTTCAA